TAGTCCTTTGAATAATCCATCAGGTGGTTAAGCCACTAGTTAGGTTACAGCTACCATAATCTACTAATTTCACCTCTGATCATTGCTACATTGCCTCCTGAGCTTTTGAGGGACACCTCATATTTAAACGAYAATACTTGGGGACTCCTTATTTATGGTGCTTTCCCTCAAACAGCAATTTTTCTCCCTACTACTTTTATCCCCTGGGGGTCTTACATTCTTCAAGGGCTTTAACACAGCTTCTCTTCCCCACTCAGGGTTCCTACTAGTTTTAATCTCACTCCTGAACTCCGGCTCCATATTTCCAAATGCCAACTAGATTTCACCTGAGTATTCAAAATAGGTTTTAAAATGCTATGAGCAATGACCAMGATCATCATATTCCCTAGCCTAGAAACTGCTTTGTCTGCCTCCTTGAATAGTATCATCATTTTCTCAGGCACTCAGGACTACATATTGAAAGTGTGACTGTTTGTTGCTTCTCATGCCCTATTATTTGCTAGGTCCTACTGATGTGATCACAATATTTCTTGCATCCTTCCTTCTTCCTATCAGTGACTATAGCTATGACTTCAACTCTGTTTATTTTGTTTTTCTTTCAGTCTTGTTTGTTTGCTGCTCCCAATCAGTCTTTTTTTTTTTGGAGTGGGGGCCGTGGGGGTCAAACCCAGGGCCTATAGCATGAGAGGCAAATACTCTGCTGCTGAACTACATCCTGACTCTAGCAGTCAGGTTAATGGATGCCTTTCTACTGTGCTATTCCATTGTTCTAACGTGGTGGTGAGGATCTATTATCAGAAGTTCACTTTTCTTCCCTTGACATTCAAGATCCTCTGTTACCTCACCTCAACTTGCTGTTTTCAGACTTGGATCTTATATCCCTCCCTGCTGTAACACCTGCTGTGGTTTAAATCAGACTCCATCTGAGTTCTTGCAAGTGCTTCATCCTTTCCACCTCCCAGTAGTTCATTATTCTCCTTTGCTTGGAATGTACATTCATCCTCCCCTGATGCATGTGTCTAAATTCTGAGTGTTCTTCAGGAAAAAGCACAACTTTTGCCTTGCTTTCCACTTAGTAAATTACCAAGTTGAAGGTGATCTTTCTTAAACTTAGTTTCTAAATTAGTTTTTAATTTGTTTCTAAACTTTGGAATATTTACAATTTCTAAGTTGTTTCTCTTTTTTAAATTTATTTTTTAGCTTTAGGTGGACATAATATCTTTATTTTATTTTTATGTGGTGCTGAGGATGGAACCCAGTGCCTCACACATGCCAGAGGAGCACTCTACTACTTGAGCCACAACCCCAGCCCTCTAAGTTGTTTCTCTTTGTGTTCGTCTTTTGACCTTACTTACTTAAGTCAAATTATTTGAGTTTTTTACCTTCAAATTTCTCCACGTCACTCAGTGTAAGGAACAGGTAGAACTCTCTTCAATGTAGCATTGGTAGGAAAGAAGAAAACCTCATGCTAGTAATTATGATATACTTAAGAATGAGTGATCAGCAGGTATGGGAATTATTTTTATCTCAAGTCTCTGTGGGAGGGTGAGGGTATTATATAGTTTACATAACATCATGTGTCTGGATGAAAACTGAAAAATGGATGATAAGTATGCCAAGTATGGATACCAAAACTTGGTATAGCCAAATAATATTGGTGCCTTTATGTGTAAACTCTATAAATGAGAGATTTTTTTTTTAAAACATAGAAACAGTACTAGTACAGAAACACACACACACACACACACACACACACAATTTTTTCTGAGCCTTCATTGGAAATTCATTCATTATCTCAAACTGAAAATGGTTTAGATTAAGGTGTGTCCCACTTCATCAACCACCATATGACCCAAATATCACATTCCCTGATATTTACCGAAAGCATTGAAGTCAGTGCACCACAGTGATACAAGCACATCCATGTTTATAGTAGCACAATGCATAATAGCCATTAGGATCCAGCCCAGGTGTCTTTCAATAGACATGTGGATAGACAAATATGTGGTCTGTATACACAATGGATAAAATGAAATTATGGTATTTGCTGGTAAATGGATAGAATCCGAGAACATCACACTAAGTAAAGGAAGCCAGACTCAAAAGAATCAAGAGTCAAATATTTTCTCTCATATGTGGAAAACAGAAAGAGAAAAAAAGGAATAAAATGGGGGAATCTCACGAAAAYAGAAGGAAGACCAATAAAGTAGAGAAAGGCAGTTGAGAGGGAGAGAGAAGGGAAGGGGATGGGGAAAGTATGCTGTGTCCATGTATGAATATACCACAATGAGTCTGCTTTCATATATAATAATGATGCATTAATTTAAAAAGTGATAATAGAGGGGAGACCAGTAGAATAGGAAGGGGAGTTATGATGATTGAGATTGATCAAATTATGTTATGTGCATGTAGGAACATGGCATAAAAGATCCCACTATTATGTATGATTGCAACACAACAATGAGAGAGAGAGAGAGAGAGAGAGAGAGAGAGAGAGAGAGAGAGAGAGAGAACTGACCACCTATAATACTAAGCTGAATTTTTCCAGTTTTTCCGACATTTTCATGGGGACTGGGTTAGCTTTCTAAAACTTTCACTCCTTTATTTTGCTGGAGTTGAGGATGGATTAAGTATTCCTTTTGGCTTAAAAATTGTTTTACTATCATGTATTGTTTATCCATCTGATTTCTTTTTAATCCTCAAGAATAGTCACCACTATAAGCCTTTCATGTAACACACCCATGACTTAATTTTGGGAATCCTTGGTTCTAATCAATGAAACTCTAGTTATAATTGTGTTCAACCCTTTATATCAGATAATGTTTGCCCAATGGGAATATACTGTTTTTCTCTAACAGGTTGGATTGAATGTTTTCATTTTGAGTTTATAATTTATATGTCACATTGGCAAGATTCTTGCAGAAAAACTCTGTAACTATCTGGTAAGACTGAATCTTCAAAAGATCTACAGGATTACGGAGGAAAAGGGCAACCATGGGATGCCAACACTGCTGTTGAGTGTGAATGCTGGCTTATCACCAGAATCTCTCTTTGGGGTGGGGTAATGCAATTGTTTATGTTCAAGAATTTATTTATGTTCACTGTATTCTAGTTCATGACATAAAGTCCTGWGTTTTCATTAAGAAGCAACATGATTATTTGCTTAGTTAGTAAGGCATTGTTAGCTCTATTTTTTTTTATTATAAAGCTTGTGTCACTTATCAGGAGGTTTGCTATATATATGGGTCAATTTTCTTATGTTCTTTCGGTTGCAAAACAGGCCTTACATCCTAATTGAAACTGTCCATGAGAATCCTCTGAAGTTGCCACCAGATCTCTGGTCTATTTCATCATTTGCTAAAGATAGTTGCAGATGTCCTATTTGCTCATGCTCTATGAAGTTAATTTTAAATGTTCAACAGAAATTTACAGTAAATGATTTAATACCTTGAGATTTGGTGTGACACAAGGTATTTGAAAACATATGATGAGTATTTCACCATTTGAAGGACTCAGCTTAGTTCAAATTGCTTGGAGAATAGTGTGTTCTGAGTGAGCCCACTGAACTGGAGCATCTTTCAATCTTTACGAGGTGTGTCATACATAATTTGAATGCACTGCTCAGGATCTGTATTCTGTTCCCCATCAGGACTGCAATATCACCTTGAGACTCATGCCGATGGTCTGAGTCCTTGACAACCTCCTTCTCTTTATTCCTACTAGGTGGGCTAGATTCCCATACACCCAGTCACTCATAGGGACCTTGTTTTAATCCAGAGAGAGCATAGATATGACTGTCTTTACCAGATTGTCATCATGCTCTACTTRTTTCACTGTATTCTGTCCCCATGCTTCTTTCTACCTGTAAGAKCAGGTGTCTCTAAGACATAAAAATATCCTAGATAGATGCAATTTTCTTGAACACACTTTCCTTGAATGTCCCTGGACATTAATTATAATGTGACTGCTGGAAACCTTCCTTCAGCCCAAAGGGGTCAACTATATAACCTGCCCTACTCTATTAGAGCACCTTGTCCTTGTTAATTCTGACATCCCAGTTCAGTACTCCTTGTTCAGCATATCTATTGGTATGCTTATGGTAGAATATAAGTTCTTTCAATTTTTTTAGCAAAAATGCTTTACTATCTGTTATGGTTTGGATGTGAGGTGTCCCCCAAAAGCTCATGTATGAGACAAAACAAAAAGGTTTAGAGGAAAAATGATTGGATTATGAGAACCTTAACCTAATCAGTGTTTTAATCCCTTGATAAGGATTAACTGTGATAACTGAAGTGATAACTGAAGGCAGATAGAAAGTGGCTGGAGGTGGTGGGTCACTCGGAGTCTTGCTTTGGGGTACATACATTGTATCTGGCAAGTGGAGTCTCTCTGCTTCTGATCATCATGAGAGCCACTTCCCTCTGCCACATTCTTCCACTGTGTTGTTCTGTGTCACCTTTAGCCCCGAGGAATAGAGCCAGCTGCCTATGGACTGAGATCTCTAAAACCATGAGCCCTTAATTAAACTTTTCCTCCTGTACAATTATTATGGTTGGGTCTTTTAGTCATAGAGGAGAAAAAGCTGACTAAAACATTATCTAAAATATGGATCCTCTTATTTATTTCCATTAAGTCCTGAGAAAAGTAACTAATCAGTTTTGGAGGTCTGCTTTGGGTAAAAATACTTTGGAAAACTATTTCCTGATGGCTACTTTCCGTCCAATGGTCAAAMAGCACAAGGAGAAGCTGTACTAATAGATGTTTCTGTTAGAAATACTTTCTCTAGAACAATCACCCACTGAAACACCTCACTCTTTTGTTTCATTGAATAAAACAATAAAATATTTGGTTTAATCAGACAACAGATTTTGGATAGTCTCTTTGTTTTCTGAGAGACGATTCTTGCATTAGAGGAAGAAGATATGCATACTATAACATAAGACATAGCATATGGAGTTATAATGGCAAATAACGAAAGTCAGAGTAAAAGAAAGTATTACCTTAGGGTCATGTATTCCAGAAAGCTCTTCATAGATCTTCTCACCTACCATGACGGCAGCCAAGTTTGCTGTATACGTAGAAAGGCAAAACATACAGAAAATGGCCCAAAGGTTCATTAGAAATCTTCCAGTCCAGCATTTTGGGGGTTTGATGGCTGCTGTTCTACCAAACAAGAGGGCATAACAGACATTCAAGGCTGATGAGAAGGAGAAGACTTTATTTCTGTTCCGCCCCTTGGGAGTCATACCAAATGGACTTTTCCATTCATACAGAGTGAGAAAGATGGCAGTGATATGCAGAGCCACAAAAATCCCCAGCCACATAGTCCAGTGGAGTGGCCACATGAAGGCTCCAATGGGAGCTGCTGTATCTCGGGTCCTCACTAAAATGCCCAAGCTGGTGGAGAAGAAAGGGCTAGTGAAATCAATCACCTGGCTCCGTGCAGTGTTGATGCTGAAGGAAGTGACCGCCATGTGGGCAGTCCCACTCAAGAGATCACCCACCAGCCCAGTCCAGTGCCCATTTTTCCAAGCTCCATACTTYCCATCCCCAACAATATAGAGGTCAAAGTCAAAGTTCATGTCTTCTGCTAGCTTTTCCAGCAGATCAATGCAATATCCATAGCAACACTTCTTGAATTTGATTGGCACTGTATCATTACTGCTATGGAGGCTACTAAATAGGCTGTCCAATAAGGAGGAGTCATTAGTCATAGGGTCTAGACAGAGTTGGCCAGCAGGGCACAAGCCTTCATCATCTACTTCCCTTGTGAAGACAAATGGGTGTTCAATCAGGGTAACCACTCTTAAGTGTAGCTTACTTGGGTGCTGGAAGTGGGTTTTATGCCTYTGGGCCTGTTCTGGCCATATTCCATAGTCCATGACAATCTTCCCGCCCTGCCAGCTGCCCAAGCGGGTCCACATTGGCTTTTCCATAGGGTCATGTTGCAGATTCCAGATGAAAAAGTTGTTTTCTGAGCTGATGATGGTGGAACCTTTTACTTTGATGGAACCACTGAGGCCTCTGAACGTGGTGTTGGCTAGAAACCTAGTAAAGAGGAGCAAAGGCGAAAAGTAAAGAAGAGGTAAAGCCAAAGATAGGAAGCCTTGCTTATCTTTGCCTCTCTGTTTTAATAACACGCCCCCCCCTTTTTAAAGGTATTCTCCATAGCTTCTTCAGGCATTAATAAGCTAAAMTCTGTCTGGGAGAATATTTCTATTTCTCTGAACTAATGAGAGCTTACCCTCAGGTTTTAACATCCCAGCCAGATGTTTAAAAATTGGTCTTACTCCAGATCTTTTAATTTTTAGCTAAGTGATGTATTATTGTTTTATGTTATAGACTGTTACGTACTTTAAAAGCTTTTCAAGTTTGGGAGATTCTGAGCATCTTTAACATAAACAATTTATACCATTCACTATRTATTTCATTGCAACCAAATCTGCTCAATAAATATTTCTGGTTTTCAAGTGAATTTTAGTAAGTAAGCAAGCATCTATTTTTATAATCACTTTAAAACTGCAAGGGTTMTGTTTCATTGGGGCTGRGGTTGTGGCTCAGTGGTAGAGTGCTCGCCTAGCATGCATGARGCACTGGGTTCGATCCTCAGCATCCTATAAAAATAAAAAAATAAAGATATTGTGTCCACCTAAARCYAAAAAATAAATATTAAAAAACCCTGCATTCATAACATCAGAAATAGCCAAATCTTGTTACCATGTTTCTCCTTATAGAGTGTAAACAATTAATATATCTTTCCACATGGGGCCAGTTCAGGGCTGCATGTTGGATATAATCCATGAAACAAAGAAAAGAATGATAAATAAACTTGCAGTTCTCTGGATAGCTTCAGGCTACCCTCCCTTGTCATTAGAAAAACAACTGGCCTTGGCTCTAGGGAGAGCTYCTGCCAAAAGTCAAAGAAAGGAAAATTACCAACTAAATGATAAACCCATTCCTAACTCTATGAATTCAGGCACTTTCAGTATATGTTCTGATATAAACTGGACAGGAAAATGCTTGGTCATAGCCTCTGTCTTTCTTGAGCCTGAGAAGATGAGAAATAAGTGGTAACACATAAACTGTGGCATCTCTATACTTGCCTTCAAGGCCTCCTKTCAGAATAATAGCCCAAAACTTTGGCATCAGATTCAACTGCATTGTAATATTGGCCCAGCCACCTGCTAGCATTGACCTTGGTCAGTTTACTGAACTGTAGGCTTTAGTTTCATTCTCAGCAAAATGGGGAAAATAATCCTTCCTCCATTATAAGGGTTGGACATAATGCATATAAAGCACATTCTATACTTTCTGATATGGAACAAATATTTTAGACATGATAGCTATCATTTAATGTCATTCAAGTTTTGTTTACAATTGAGGCCATMCCCAGCTTTCTTTTTCAAGTCTTTTATTATAATTTTTCTAGTTGGACACACACACTTACACATACACACACACAAATACTGCATTAAGATAAACCCATAGCAGTGACTCAAGACACATTTCAAATTAAAAGAAATTAAATTGAAATGTGGAATGTCACATAGTAGGTATTCTGAGGAACCAGATGATATAAGTCTAAGTGCATAGCAAAACACATTCACCCATTGCCTATCATAAACAATACTCCATAATTTAAAATTGCTAATAGAAGTAGTATCAAGTTATGTTGCCACAGAAGGGACATAGAAAAATCAGAAAGTGTGAAGTATGCACCAATGTTCAATAGAGATAAATGTAAATCATTTTTGAAGATGCTACTATCATTATATGCAATGAAACTCTTCATTCTGATAGATTGCATGTAACAGCAATTATTCATGTTAGCACTCCCTAGCGGGATTCTATCACTTAAAATAATTTCTATTATTCAACAAGTAATGAAGTCTCAGCTATCTTAGACTTTAAAACAGTTTTTTTGTTTCTTCAGAGAAGCAGGGAACCAAACCATTAAAATATACAGATTAATCAATTGATAATTATCTTGGTCCTATAAAGGAAGGGGGACTATGATTGTATTTCTGATAAGAAATCTACTTTTAGATTTCTTAAAACATAGACATATAAACATTTGCTGACATAACCTAGAGAATAAAAAAAGGCCAGTAGTAAATAGGTTAATTTTATTTACTCAGTTTAGTAATCTGGAAAGCAAAGTTGAAAGTTGTAGAAAGGGGAGTCTTTCATTATTTTAAGAGTGTTTGGGGCTTAATGATTATAGATTTTTAGCTTGATGAACCCTTGAGGGATAGCCTCTGAATAAGTATATACTTAAAGCATCTCAAAAGGTGGCACTAGAAGTCTTCAGAATTTTTTTTTTTTTTGCAGATAATACAGCTCCCTCCTTTCAGTAAAGCCTATTCCTCATTAGCAGTGGTAGCAGTTAAGATGACCATGACAGGAGGACAGTACTCAGTTGGCTTTGAGACAGCCATCTGTCAAAGAAAGCAAATCAATCAGAATCCAAAGGTCTCCAGCTTTCCCAGCCCAGAAAACCCAGAGTCTTTTTCACTGTGCAATTGGCACTGATATATTGGGCGCCAGAGAATCTCCCATTTATGACAGATTATTTATGCCTATTTTATTTTCAGACTTACAGAGAGGGTAAATTAAAGTAATCTCATCGATACTTTTTAGCGACCGTTGCCTTCTCTATATATTCTTTGAAATGTAACGATAATCAAGCAGAGTATAAATGCTTACTCTATTAGTTGAAAGATTAAAAGTAGTGCAAAGTGATGTTGCCATCCTGCTTTTGCATAAATTGAATTTTACCATGCTCCTTTCTACCTTGTCCTGGACTCTTGAACGAACAAGAACAAAAGCAATTAGGCACAGTTGTGATGGCATGATAAACTGAGAGAAATACCAGGTACCATCTTACCACTAATAGTTACAGAGATGAAAACTCATTAGTCTTGAAGAGCTCAAAATCTACTTGTGGGGAGAAAGAAAGCGAAGAAGCAATTCACACCAGTATAATGAGTATCCCGATAGAGGGAAATCTGGTGTCACCAGAAGAGAGAACACAGCCACCTGCAGGTTTCACCCTAGGTGTGCTCAGGAAGGCTTCATAGAGGAGGAGGAGGTAGCAGCAGAGCTAAGTCTTGAAGAAGAAAACACAGTTATTCAGGAAGATAAACTGGAAAATAAAGCTGTCAGCCCTGAGAGATGCACAAAGTCCACAGGTGGAGAGTGCAAACTGTGGGACAATAGGTGGTGAGAAATAAGGCTGCGGATGAGGGTGGGAAACGAATCATGTCATCTCTGAGGTCACATGAGGCCATGGGGAGACACTGAGGAGAATCTGTCTGAAGAGGGACATGATCATCAGAGATAATTTTAGAATACCTTTTTTCCCTTGCTGGTTCTATAGGAAACAGTTTAGAAGGAGGAGGTCCCAAATATAATTCCATGTGCCAGGCCGAGTGCTTCCTCCTTCTCTCTCCCTCTCTCTCACTTCTCCCTGTGCTAATTCTACAAGGTGGTAGCAGGAAAAGTTGAAAAAAAGATGGTATGATCAAGAGATATTTTGTCTTCATAAAAAAGCAGTGATTTTTCAGAGGGTCAGTGCATAGGATCATATTTAGCTCACAAACCACRCCAAAATGGGTCATATAAATAAGACCTTCAGTATTTAGTTGAATGTAAGCTCAGTGTAAGCCCAGAGAGCAATGTGTGCATAAGAAAAGATCAAACTAATCTTTAGTTCCTTTAATAGGAATTAAGAACTTGAATCCAAGGGAATAATACCAACACCATTCTTTATGCTGATCAGACAACTGCTCCAGCCTTGATATGCACTGTAAACAAATCTTCCAGATTCAGGAATGTTATAAAGATAAGAAGATGAAAAGCACAGTGAGGAATGTGGCTCAGTGATAGTGTGCTTACACAGCATGCACAAGGTCCTGGGTTTGATCCTTAGCACCATCAACACAGAACAAAACAACAAAAGATGGAAACTCTGAGAAGGGTCAGTAAGCACAACAATTGGATTGGAAAGCAAGGTGGAGAAATATTTGAAACAGAAAAACACACTGCAACTAGACTGCAGAGAATTTTTACACACCCATTTTATGAGATTGGATTTTTTTAATAGTACAAAGGGAGCAATGAAGATTTCTGAGCAGTGTAATGATATAACCAGAGGGCCATATTAGTAATACTGACCTGTAAGCAAGTAAAATGTGTATATAGGAAAGAAGAGATGGTGACCCAGAGACCACTAAGAAGAATATTACGACACCTTTGCAATCATATGAGGACCTGGCTCTCACTCTAGGAGTGAGGACCTAGCTTAGCACTGTGCCTTGCACACAGTGATGTTTAAGAGACCAGTCCAGCAACACCCTCACTGCCACCACAAGGAATCCTTTCTGCTTAAATGAATGAGGCTCGTTAATTAATTTTACTTTATTGAAAGTCTCTCATTATGTCACTAGTTAAGAATAAGTCAGATTTTTATGGCACCTGAGATAAAATTGGTACTTTGTAAATTACTTTAAAATGTTTTGAGACAGTTCATCGTATAAGCAAGATCTGTATTTACTATATTTATGATCTACTCTAGAAGCCGTATTAGCACACAAAATCCCAACATACTAATTAAAGGAATTTCATACTTACTCATTCAAACAAATGAGCAAAGATATTAACAAACAACACATTACCCATTCAATCATTTATGCATTCAACAATACTCACTAAATGCCAGGCACTGGTCTAGGTGCCTAGCAGTGAATGAAGACAGGAATCTATGCAGCTTATATGCAGCTTATATTCTATGGAAGGAGGCAGAACAAATATGCTAAATGGATAATATGCATGAGATATTAGATGGCACTCAGTGGAAAGGACAAAAATAAAGTAGAAGACCAGTGAAGGCTTTCTCTCTGAGAAGGTGATATTTGAATAAAGAGCTGAAGGACGGGTAAGAACTGGGCATGAGGATATCTGGGTAAGGAGCATTCCATGTATAGAGAAAAACAAGTCCCAAGTCACTGAAGTGGGAGTGTGTCTGGAGTATATGAGCAGGGATGAGG